CCACTATCTCGCACACACACTTGAGCCTTATACATTGAATCAAACATTTCTTTAGCCTATTTGTGAGACCCTTAGCCGACCTTAGAGAGAGAGAGACTTGAGGAGTTGAGTTCATCTCAATATTGCTTAGAATTTGAAGAGAATTGAAGTGTAGATTGCTTAATTGAGCTCCTAGTCTTCTAATTCAAGACCTAAGGTAGAGTAATTACCCTCTTGTTTATGAATTGAGCTTGTTCTTGCATGATTCATGTCAAATTGAGGAGCTAAGTCTTGTTTTAGTTCATACATGTTGAAATAGAACATAATTCATGCATGCATGCTTGAATTGTTGGATTTTGAGTTGAATTCATGGCAAATTGTCACATGCAAGTTCATAATTATGTTTAAGTCCATGTTTTCATCTTGTTTGTGAATCAATTGGCTCACTAGAGCATGTTTTTAAGCTTGAAAGTTATTTAAAGATCATGCATGTCATGTTTGAAGATTGTTCTTGACAATGATTTGAAATTGAGTTTGAATTAAACACCCTTGGGCTTTGATTTCTCAAAATTGAGCTTTGAACCATGTTATACTATGTGTTTATAAATGTTTTCCAGAAAATGGGCCCAAGAGGATTGGTTTTGATGCATTTGAATGTGAGTTTGAGCTTGGAGGTGCAATATGGAATTCCCAGATTTTGCACTTACGCTCGAGTGGGGAAAGTGGCGCTCGAGCGTGGAATCCGAGCAATCAGCATCTCTCTGCACTGTTTTGCAGTCCGCTCGAGCGGAGGATTGGGCGCTCGAGCGGAGTCAGGTCTCACGCTCGAGCGGGCGTCGAGCGGAGATTTCACCCATCCAGTACTTTTACAGTACGCTCGAGCGTGTGCCTTTGTTGCATGACCGCTCGACGGGGAAACCTGCGCTCGAGCGGGACTCTGTTTTTCTGAAAATGCTTTTAAATGTACATCTTTGCATCCTCATCCCATTCTAGGCATTCTTAGGCCTAGTTTAAGACATCTTTTAGAGGATATAGATGTAGAACACACCGAGGCATTAGGGATTCAATTGTTATCTTTCCCAGCTGTGTACCTTAGTGTGTTCAATCTGTTAACTGCGTAGGGTTGGCGACTAGGGAGACACGCTCTAGCATATTGTAGCCCAAACTCTGTGAGTAACGATTGTGTAAAGATATGTTCAAAATGATTATCTTCTGAATATGAGCTGTAGTGACCCCAATATGAACAGAACGGGAGCTCACCCTCCCGGGGCGTTCGGGGGACGTCTACAACTATTTACTGAACTGATATTGTTTACTGAATGAACGTATGTCCTATATTCTAAACTGTACTGTGGCATCCTTGGCATCTACTGTTACTGTTACTGTCACTGTTACAGAGATCTCTGTCAGTTCCCTCGCGGAACCATTACTGTTTACTGACTGATGGCCATCATTACTATTCGGTCTTTAAGACCTACTGTTTACTGCTATGCTAATGGATGTACCACATATGACTGAATAACTGTTCTGACTGAAAGACTGAAGTATTGTTTAATGAACTGATTTCATTACTGTAAGGACATTTCATTCATAACCCCTTTACGCATTATGTTAATCACTGGGCTTTAGCTCACTGTTTATATATATATGTAGGTGCTCAGCCGCCAGATCGGAGCTAGGAGCGTGGGTTAGACTCCAGTTTTGTCAAGCCAGCCTTTGTGCCTCACTGAGAGGTTCCGAGTTGCCATGCTATGGCTTTGGGGTGTCTTGTTTTTCCCCCGTCTGTCTCCATACTGTTTGGATTACTGTATAGACTGTTAACTGCTAACCGTACTGTAACAACCCTCATGCTGCTTCACCACAATCTTCCATCCACCCCTTGATCGATGTCGGCAGCCCCGCCACCAATCCCCTCTCCATCACTGCCTGTAGGGTGACCCACGTCTCTTGCTGCCCCGAAGCCTTGTAACAGGAAAAGAACTCGTCTATCGCCATGGCCTCCCCTCCATTCGCCTTGGGCCACGCGTTCGCACAGGCCAGCAGAATCTTCCATGCATTAGGCATCAATTGCCCCGGCGCTACCTCCAGACGGTTCAGTACGTCAACCACCACTTGGGGCAGTGGCAACCTCAGCCCACCTTTTAGCGCCTCCTCGTAAAGGGAAAACTCCCCTGGCCTAGCATCAGACGGCCTTTCCCTTGATGTTGGCAGCAATAACTCCACCTCTGCCGGAATCTGGTACCTTTCCCTGATAGCCTCCAAATCTGCCGCAGTAATTGTGGATTTGTCAGCCTTAGTGTGCCACTGATCCGGCTTTACTTGGCTTATTGGCCTTGGGGCCAATATCAGGGCCGACGCCTGCGATTGTCCCACCGGTTCCCCCACCCCCACCACTCGTGTCTCCGCCCTGTATCGCGCCGCTAGCTCTTCTGCATCATCGTCTCCCAAAGGATCCACTCTCACATTCACCGCTTCTTCTTGTGCCATTTCTAGGGTTCGCTTACGAATCATTTCTGACGCAGGAGCAAGGAAGTTGAGAAAATGTTGCACAAGTGTGTCGTGCGCAATGACGGAATTAACACTTGGGCATTTTGATTTTTTGTTAAAAGGTAGGTGAAACGAATCATACCAAAAACCCACGGTCTACCCGTATTCCATGGATCCACATTAATTTTCGCCCGTTTCAAAACCTTTCCAATCAACCGCCAAAACCGCCTTTTCAAAACCCTCCCTCGTGACCTATCGTTTCATTTCTGCTCCAACGCTTCACTTCCCCCACGATTTCACCACGTGTATGGCCACGATGCACTGTCCCCTCCCCTTACCCTGTCTTTTCCATTTCACATCATCACATGGCACCCCCCTCCCCCCCTCCTCTTTTTGAGCCCCGTGCCGTCCTGGTCGGCACGCTTAACGGTTGACGCCTCACGGTCTGCTCCCCCCGCTCGGCGACCCTTGCGGTCGGCATGCCTAACGATCGACCCCTCCCGCTCGGCCACCCTCACGGTCAGCTCCCCCCGCTCAGCCACCCTTGCGGTCGGCACGCCTAACGGTCAACCCCTCCCGCTCGGCCACCCTCGCGGTCGGCACGCCTAACGGTCGGCCTCTCCACTCGGTTTGCACTTCTCTTCCTTATTACTATTCCCTTCGTTGGACTAAAGCTGCACTCAGAAATAGGGGACTACTGACATGGATAGGCTCATAAGGCTTACAGCCCACAGCAAACAACCCCAAACCCATCGCTTGGGACCCACAGCATAACCCGGTTGGCAAAGCCCAGGACAGCTAGAGGCCATCTGGGCATGGAGGGCCAATGACATTCGGGCAGTCGACCCCTCCCGCTCGGCCACCCTCACGGTCAGCTTCTCCCGCTCGGCCCCCCTTGCGGTCGGCACGCCTAACGGTCGGCCTCTCCACTCGGTTCGCACTTCTCTTCCTTATTACTATTCCCTTCGTTGGGCTAAAACTGTACTCGGAAATGGGGGACTACTGACATAGATAGGCCCACAAGGCTTACGGCCCACAGCAAACAACCCCAAACCCATCGTTTGGGACCCATAGCATAACCCAGTTGGCAAAGCCCAGGACAGCTGGAGGCCATCTGGACATGGAGGGCCAATGGCATTCGGGCACATGGCAGGTGAAACACAGGCCACATCAGCAGACAAAGATCTGCAGAGTTATTGCCACAACACATCACCATTAATGCAGCCCATCACAGCATTTATTACGACAACACCTCCCCGTCGGAACAGAGCCCCCTCACCCTGAACAAGGTAAGCTACGACACAGGCTTTCGGCGGAACGGGGCACGTCACAAGGGACAGTGATATGATTACCAAAGGATATAAGCAAGAATCGAAGACAAGAGGAAGGTTAAGCTTTCTATCTCTCTCTCTCTATATATATATATATTTCCTTCTTCCTCTACTGATTTGCTCGCCGGAGGGTTCACTGGGGGACTACCTCGTCCCCTTTTGGACTTGCTTGCAGGTCATCTGGTGGAATCATCCGTCTGAATCGGAACTTGAAGAGCTTGGACCAGCCCAACCTATCCACCCAGGACGAACTGCATTATCAAGTTGTATTCTGTTGTTGTTTTTATTTTTATGCTTGTTGGTTGAACAATTATTTTTGTTACCATTGAACAATTGAAATAGTCGATTTTCACTTTTTTTAATTTTATTTTATATTTTCACATTACAGTATGAATGTTCACATTGGTATGAGTTTATTTTTTTTTTTAAACTAGTTGTATATTAATTACAAATTGTGAACATTCACTTTGTATTTTTGTATAAGTTTTATTTTTTCGAAAGTTAATTATATTTTTGTTGTTTTTGTTACTATGCTTGTTAGTTGAACAATCATTTTTGTTACGCTTGAACAATTGAAAAAGTTAATTTTCACTCTTTTTTTAAAAAAATTTTGTTTTATATTTTCACATTATAGTATAAATGTTTACATTGGTATGAGTTATTTTGATAAGAATTTTATTTTTTCGAAAGTTAGTTGTATGTTTATTATTTATTATGAACATTCATATTGTACTTTGGCATATGTTTTTTTTTTTTCAAGAATTAGTTGTATGTTTGTTATTTACTATGAACATTCACATTGCATTTTGATTTTCTTTCAAATTTTTTGTTGCGTTATTTTTAAAATTTACAAATTACAAAAAGGTTAAAAATTCATAATTTGAGATTTTTTTCAATGGAATGTGGGAAATATTTTCTCCTTCGAATAAGTGAGAGATTTTCTCAATGGAATAAAGGAAAGGTTTTCTCTTTAGAATGAGGGAGAGATTTTCTCCATAAAATGAGGGACTATTGTTATGTATTAGTTTGAAAATAGAAACATGTGCAAAAAATTAGAAAGTATGATTTGGTCCTATTACATTAAATAAGACTTAATGGAATATTTAAAAAGAATATAGGTTAGATGGAATAAAACACCTAGAAAGATAATTTATCAAAAAATGACCCATCTATCTACTAATTTGTAATAAAATCTATTTCTCATTTATTTATAATTTTTCCTTTAACTTATTTGAAAAATCAATCTCACGTACAACATATATTTGAACTTATATAAACCACAAACAACACAAAAAACAAAACAAAAATAGCACATTGTCAACTAAGTCACTATTAACGTGTGAGAACATATCGATAGATTTTTCAAAAAAAAAAAAAAAAGTGCTCAAACAACGTTTGTAGCTTCAGAGAAAATGTTATTCATGATTATGTCACGTGCTTTGCACATAGCTTCTAATGGCTCAGCTTTAGGCATGGTAAGTCCTTTTCCTTCCGTTAGATCAACTGTCTCCTTAGTAACCCTCTTCCACTCGAAGCATTGAATCAATGACCCCAAAGCTAAACCCACGACACGTTGTGCCAGACCAGCCCCAGGGCAAGCCCTCCTTCCCATCCCAAATGGCATCAACTTGTGTCCTTCCACTTCTCCACCTTCGAATCTCTCAGGCTTAAAGCTTATAGGATCATCCCAAACCTTAGGGTCCCGGTGAATGGCCCATGCATTAACCAATAACAATGTACCACGTGGCACGTTGAACCCGCCTATAATGCAATCATCCGATGATATATGTGGTACCAACAACGGTGCTGCTGGGAACAATCGAAAGGTCTCAGAGATAATAGCTTGAAGATAATGTAGCTTTGAGATATCGTGTTCATCAATCAAGCAATCTTGGCCCACATGAGCATTTATCTCAACTCTCGCCTTCTTCAACACCTCTGGATGGTTCACTAGAAGGGACATTGCCCATTCCATTGTCACTGCTGATGTATCAGTGCCCGCTAATATCATGACCTGGACATTAAAACTTAATAAATTAAACTGAAAAAGTAAATTATATTTTTTACATAATCAATACTATTTTTGCAATAAAAGGTATTTTGTTTTAAAGTGTTCGACCTCAATTCTACTACATTCTTCTTCAACACCTTTGTATTTACAAATCATTACTCACAAAAGTATGGGACAATAGGAGATGAATTTACCATTTGTTTAGCCTATTATGTTTATATACACAACAAATATTATATGAGTATGTAAAATACTTCATATCTACAAGAAAAAAAAAATAAATTAAATACAATGAGTTCTACCTGCAAACATATTTTTATAGTGCCAATCTACTTTAAAAAATGAAAAAAATAATGAAAGTCATCCCCTAACATATATCTTGTTTTTTTTTTTTATATATTTTATTTATGAATATTAATTGCTATATAAATTAAAAAAATATTTCAGTTTGTTATGAAATACTTTGTTCTTAATTTAATCAGAAATTAATAATAACATTTATGCGGACATAGCGTTTTCTTTTGTCCGGTAGTTCACCATCAAATTGTGTTTGAATAAAGATTTGGAGGAAGGTTCTGTGGAAGGAAAAGAAAATGAATAAGCCTCCGTTTGGGGGAGTGGGATGATTTTTTGACTTTTTAGTTTTTTTGGCTATTTTAGTCTGGATTTAAAAGTTTGGTTTGGGAAGGACTTTTTGGCTTTTTAGCTTTTTTAAGTTTTTTTGTGAGAGAAAAATGTAATGATTCTGGGTTGGATGTGATGTTTTGTTTGTTATGACTAAAATAGCCTATTTTATTTTTTGTGACTAAAATAACCAAAAAAAACCTACAAATCCGCTTACCAAACACAGGCTAAATTAGATTTGGAGGAAGGTTCTGCGGAAGGAAAAGAAAATGAATAAATTTATGAAGTCAAATTTGTTATTATGACAAATCATGCGATATATATAGATTTTAATTTGCAGAATTGCAGCATAAAAGTTGTATGATGGGCTAGAGAGAGAGAGGGGAGAGTCCACAAACCGCGATTAGTCCTTTGATGATTTCATCTGTATAATATTCTGGCTGTGATTCTTGCAAGGAAAGCAAATGATCGATCATGGTGTTCTTACTCTTGTCACGCCTGTGCTCATCGATCAGACCTTGCAGGAAAGCGTCCATTTTCTTATAAAGTATCCCCAAATTCTTCTCAAAACTCTGATAATCAATCCACCTTAATACCGGTAGAAAGTCCCCTGGGTACGATGCACCGGCATACTCGAATGCCTGCCTCATGATTTCCCGGAACTCCTTCGCCTCCTTGTTGTTCGACAACTCCTCGGCGTCGTCGCCGCCATAATACCTCTTTCCGGCGATCATTCTCATCATGATATTAAAAGTCAGTTCAGAAAACTTGGATTTCAATTCGACTCTGGCGAAATCACGAGACGAGTTTCGATACAATCTGCGGAGTAAAAGTTTGATTTCATCTCGCCTGATCGATAAGAAGCCGTTGAGGCGGCTGGTCGAGAAGATTTCCAGCGCCATGAGGCGGCGGAGGTTGCGCCAGTGGTCGCCGTAACTGGACGCGCCGATGCTGGTGTAATTGTAGCCAAAGTACTTGCCGATGATGAGACGAGGGCGGTTGGCTAAGACGACGTCGTTCTTGGTGAAGCATTCCTCCACTGCGGACGGCGATGACACCACCACCACCAGGCGTGACCCGAACCGGAGGGAGAAGATCGGCCCCAGGTTTTGGGATAGTCCGTGGAGAGTGCGATGGATAGGTTGTTTGAGGAGGTGGAGGTGACCGATGACCGGAAGAGCCGGTGGGCTTGGAGGGAGATTCTTCTGTGTTCTTGCTTTTGTTAACAACTTGAAAGCAATGATAAGAAAGAAAAGAGAGAGAGATAAGTATAGCAAACTAACTTCCATGGTTCGTAATGAAGATTGGATATATATTGTTTTTGTGAGGATGGATGGATCTGAAGATTGTAATAATATATATATACAGTAGTGTGCGTATGGTGTGAACCTGTAGAAATTTCTGAGAATCGTTCCATCGGTACGGTAGAGATGATCACGACACAGTGAGCGATCATTTTTTCCAATTTAGACAACACAATTAGGTATGCGATCATGTAATCAATCGGGTTTATAAAATAATTATTACTGTAGTAGAGGATATGACAAGGGATTATTTGGAATGTTCTGAATAAGTGTATTTTTTTGATTTTTTAAATTAAAAATTTGAGGAAAAAATATGGCTGCTTGGGATAATTTTTGACTTTTTACGAAAAAAATATGTATTAAAAAATTGTATAAATTTATGTATAGAAGAAGATTATAGTGGAATAGGCCGTACGGTCGGAAGGCGTAAGGGGCAACGTGCGCAGAGTGTAGGGTAGGAGATGATTCTCTCATTTTCGGGTATTGAATTGGACGGTGCTGTTTGGCCTTTGAAGACCCACCACGGGTCCCGTTTTGCTAATCGAAACCATTCAATATATAGAACTTGTCGAGTACTATTGTTTGTAAAAAATTACATTGATCGGATATCGATAGTTATCTGATCGGATTGGTTTTTTTTTCAAATCGTTAACTAAAATACTATTTATTTTTTTATACAAAACTGATTTGATCATATAGTTAGCGATATCCAACCAACGTGATTTTTTATAGGCATATAGTACTCGACGAGTTCTATATATTGCATCGTTCAGATTATCAAAACGGGATCCGTGATGACTTCTACGGGCCGAACAACACCGTCCTTAAGCTTGCCTGTGTAATTTGTCCTCACCAAAGTCAAGCAAAGACAACTCAGGTAGTTGTCTTACAATTTGTATAAAAATAATTTTTTTATAATTTTTTTTTGTAAATAATGATAACTTTTTAATTTTTTTAGTTATTTTTTGACTTTTTGTCTTATTTTAAAGATGCCAAACCAGGCCAAAGGGGTTGTTTGGGACATCCTAAATAAGTGCATTTTTTATCTTTTTGGACTAAAAAGTTGAGAAAAAAAAGATGGATGTTTGAGTTAACTTTTTTATTTTTTACGAAAAAAATGTATATTAAAAATTTGTATAAATAAGTGTATAAGAAAAGTTAGTGAAGTAGCCCGTACAGTCTGGCAGAGTAGTGGGTTGATTAGGAGATAGGAAATGGTTGTCTCCTTTTCGGGCTTGAATTGGACGGTGTTGTTCGGCTCGTGGGGGCCCACCACGAGTCCCGTTTTGCTAATCGAAACCGTTCAATGTGTAGAACTCGTCGAGTACTATACATTTGTAAAAAATCACATTGATCGGATATCAATAGTTATCTGATCGTCTTAGCTTTTTGTCAATCGTTAACTATAACACTATCTATTTTTTATACAAAACTGATTTGATCATATAGTTAGCGATATCTAATCATTGTGATTTTTTTAAACATATAATAATCGACGAGTTCTACATATTGAACGGTTCAGATTATCAAAACGAGATCCGTGATGGGCCCCATGAGTCGAACAACACATTGTTGTTTGTGCACCCCTCCTGTGTAATTTTTTCCAAAAAGTCAGCAAAGTCTGTGAAGGAGACAGGCACCAGTTGTAATAATTAAGTATAAAATTAATTTTTTAAATATTTTTTTGGTGAATAGTGATAACTTTTTAACTTTTTGAGTGACTTTTTGACTTTTTAACTTTTTTCATGTATCTAAAACCAGGCCTTTATATACTTTAATAATTAAAATTATAAATTTATAATTACTTTAAGATAGCAATACTGATTTGTAAATTCATTATATGATTTTTTAGGTAGACCCCACACTAATAAATCTTATAAAATTATGTTTATGATACCTTTAATGCATGTGAATATGTTATCTTTAGTATTACTAGACAGAATGTGCATTTACATCAGGGGAAATGACCAATCCGTGTGTGTAGTTGAAATTTTTTTTCTGGAATAATGATAAAATTTATAAATTTTAATTATTAAAGTCATCAACTTTTTCATGAATATATAATTATTTTTTAGAATTATACCTGATTTATACATAAACATGATAGAGTGTGGATAATGTATACATTTTAATATTTTGCTTTAAAAAATTTATTTATTTACATAAGATTATACCAATAAAAAAAAAACATATATAATAGTGACTTTTTTTAAAATAATATGTTGTTCTGAAGGCTCTTTTGATTGGAAATAAGCGAATACAAATTTATAATATCATTATATATATATATGATAAATAATTTTGTAGAACTTATTTCATTTGCACAGTATGTAATATTTAAATACACACAATTATTCATAAACCATTAAATCATGTGTATTGATTTAATCTATAATTTTGTAATATGCATTCTGATTTTGTAATTTTGTAGCAATAAGCATGCAGATTCTATAAATAATAATTTTGCTTTTAAGTTTTAACAAAAATCATCATATGTGTCCAAAAAAACCTGTGTTTGTGTCTCTAACTAATATTGTTTGATGATTTTTCCCTTACCTTCTCTATTTTTTGAGATAGTGTAAACACTTGGAACTTATTAAGGGTATAATTTTGTGAAAATAAAATGATAAGATGAGCTCGTTATGGAGATTGGAGTCTGACTTTAAAATGAATATTGAAGTTTGGGAGATTAACGTCAAAGGAGTTGCTAAAATGGTATTTTAGTTAATAATCAACAAATCAAAACGAAAATAACTTCATTAGACTAATTAAAGCTAAATTAAAAGGAGGGATTTTGAATAATTAATTTCACTAGTTTTGCTGGAGTTGTGTCAACCTAAAAGTGGAATTTGAACAGTAATTAGCCGTCATTTGGCATATAAGGTTTTGGAATTTTTTGATTAAAACAATCACACAAAAAAATAAAATAAGTTAAAAGTTAATAAAATAAAATGTATGTCTTTTAAATCATACTTATTTTATTTTTTCTCTTATAAAAGTTAAAAAATTCAAAAAATTTATCCCAAATAAGGTAATTTAGTCCTAGACTAAAATAACAAAAAAGCTAAAAAGTCAATCTACATTCCAAACGAAACCATAATAAATTTTAAAATTTTAAAATAATTACATTAATTTTATTTTTAATAAAGTTAACTGAATTAAAATTACTATATAGTATGAATATACATGTTCGTATTTGTTAATGTTGAAAATTCTAACTTCATGGGTGAATTTTGAGCATTGTAGAACTAATTTGTATTTATGTTAACGATCGGAATCGTTCATCTCATATGACAAACTAAAAAAAATATGTATATAAAAAATTGAGTTGGTCAAACATAAATAATCACATATTGACAATAACTAAGTAGAAAAAGAAACGGATAAGGTTATTGTTAAGCTTAATCTATTTGATGATCCGAATTATTCACATTGTACGGTATATAAAACATATTATTCATAGAAATAAAAATAAAACTTAGGATAATTGGATATTTATAACCCATTATCAAGTCTTTATTATATTAAAAAAAAAATTATCAACAAAATCATACTAACCGTTTATTTTTTTTTAAATACAAATGGTTGTGTTGTGAGGTTTTTTTTTTTTACAGATGATTTACTCAACAAATATTAAAATATAGGTAGAATATAAATATAATTAATTCAAATTTCAACCTTTTTTTTTTTTCCATTTCCAATCTCTAATCAAATTCATAATTTAAACAGAACCTTAAAATATAGATGAATAATACTAAGGCCTTGTTGGCAGAACTTCTCCGAATATTTTTTTCAATGATCATTTTTAGTTTTTTTAAACAGAAACAAAAGTCAAATCACTTTATTTCATTTGTTTTTCAAAATCCATTTTCTGCATTTTTTTGAAACAAAATATAAATTAATTTGATTGAAATAAATACCAAAAAATATTTGGCTCAAAAAAAACAAAAACATATGAATCAATGAACACTCCACATTTTCTAATCTTTTTTAATTGGGAAAATCTCTGTGTTGTTTAGTTTTGAGAAAATTATCTTTACGTTATATGTTTTTTATATTATTTTTTTAGTGTTTTTTTTTTTTTTGGATGCACTTAATGTAAATGTACTTAAAAAGAAAAATATTTAAATATATATATAATTCAATAAAGAGCAAAAAAATAACACTAATAAATATTTTCCATTTTTAGATTTTTTTTTTTTAATTTTCTTCACAAATTTTACCATTTAGAAGCATTAGATGTATCTAAAAATTAATAAATATTCAACTAAATTTAATATATATATATATATATTATTAAAGACAGAGAATGTAAAAAACAAAAATATTAAAAAATAATTTTGGAATTTGAAAACCAAACAAGGTGTAAGTTTATAAATATAATAATCACTAGGGTTAGTAATGGCCAAATATAATAGTATTTGATGGCCAAATTAAAATTTTAATAATTATCATAGAATTGAAAATTCACTTCTCGCCAAGTTCTTTCGAGAAGCCACTCTCCACGACTTGGGCAACAAAATGGAATTTCAATAGATGCCTCACCGTAGAAATCCCTCTAAAAATCTCACCAAACAAATATATATCTTGTAGTACTTATGAGCTTACGAAGTCAATTTTGGGGTCGGTTGGAATAAAAATTTTTAGCTTGATTTTTTAATTTTTTTTGGTTATTTTAGCTTGTCTTAAAAAAAAATTATTTGGGATAAACTTTTAACTTTTTTTATGATTTTGTGAGAAAAAAAAAGTGAAATAATTATTGTTTAAATATGATATTTTGTGATTTTTAACCTATTTGCCTTTTTGTAAGCTAATTTAGCCCCAACCAATATCCCAAGCGACCCTTAGAAGTTCCATCAAATACTCTAAGATTGTATTTGATTCATAGATTTTAAAAGGAATTTGAAAAGAAAAATAAAAAAAACGTGTGAAATTAAGTGAAATGTAAATATATTTTATTTATATTTCACCTATTTTTTCCTATTTCCTTTCCAAATTCCTTCCCAAATCCTTGAACCAAACACAACCTAAAGCTATGTTTGATTCATAAATTTGTGAAGAGATTTGAAAAAAGAAAAAAAAAATGTAAAATATAATTGAAATATAATTAGATTTTATTCATATTTCACTTTTTTTTTTTTGCCCTTTCTTGATTCCTCTCTAAATTTATAAACCAAATACAACTTACGTGTTTTATGTACATTGAGGCTTTCTCTACCAAAAACTTATTTTCTTCTCT